AGGCCTACAAATGAAAACTATAAAATAGCCTGGGATTTACTCAGCAAGAAATACAATAAAAACGACAAGGTAAAAAGGGCTTATCTGGAACTATTATTCGATCAACCGACGATGAAGTTACTGTCGGCATCTGAACTAAAAATAGTCGTGAACACCTCAAATGAAGGAATTAATGCCTTGAAAGCGCTCGATGAGCCTGTAGAGCACTGGGATTCCGTACGATTATTTCACATAGAAAAAAAGATCGATTCCTAAACACTCATCTTGTGTTTCTAAATTTTCTAGAAGAGCGACTATTTGAGCTGGAAAGCGCCCAAAGGAAGACAGGAAATTTAGTCAAATCTGGAATCAAAGCAACAGAAGCAAAAAGCAACGCCAACAAGTGTCGAAACCAGTCTAGTGCGTACACTTCGGTTATACAAACGTGTCCCGTATGCTCAAAGAATCACGCTCTATTCCACTGCAATCAGTTCAAAATGTTAGATATTGAAAGGCGAATTAAAATAGTATGTGATAACAACAGATGTTTCAACTGCCTTCAAGACAATCATCGTGCAGCTCAATGCACACGCTCAAATTGTAGAATCTGCAACGAAAAACACAATTCGTTGCTCCACCGGGTAACAACAACAAATACAATCAAGGCACAATCGCAAGAACCGCAACAGAGAAATTAGTCGATTAGCGTCAATGCGACACATCAGTACAACAAAACACTAGCGTTACTACCAACAGCAACGGTACTCATATTAGACGGCCGAAATAGTCTTCAACCATGTAGAGTACTGCTTGATTCGGGTGCACAAGTCACGCTCATTTCTGAGCCGTGCGCACAACGTCTAGAGCTTAAGCGTTCATACGATAAAACTTTAATTCTAGTCGGGGCAGGCACTGGAAGTTATACAAAGGGTAAGGTGTACCTACAATTGAAGGCAACGTATTATGAGAAGATGGTAACAACGGAGGCTTTATGTGTGAATCGCTTGCCACACAATCTTCCTGGCCACACAATCAACAACGAAAGACTAATTATTTCAACAACCTGAAATTGGCTGATCCCCAATACAACTTAACGGGACGGATAGACATTATCTTGGGTGCAGATATATTTAGTGAATGTTTACTACAAGACAAGATTGTACACCCAAGTGGATCTTCAAGGGCAATACAAACAATTTTCGGCTGGGTTATTGTTGGTAACGTTGCTGA